TCCGCTGTTTGCTGACGACAGGGAAGTTGATCCCGAAACGGACCCGGCATGTCAAATTAAGCCTGATGTCTCCGACCCCTCGGGACTCAAGTACAACTTAAAAATCATGGACTTCGGCAGATGTGGCGTTTTAAAGAGAAACGTAAGTTAAATCAACACTCAGAGAAATCTTCCCCTAGATTTTTTTAAGACTACATGCATTAAATGGAGCATAGAGCAAAATTTCAATTTAAGCTATATTTTCATTTTTAGTTTTTAGGTTTGAATTTAACTATATATTATTCTTAGTTTAAGAATAAATAAATTAAAACGTGCTATTAAAAAAATAAATATGTTTAACCTGCAGTCTAGACATCTTATTCTGAAATTAATAAACAGCAGTTTTTGAATTATGAAAGAATTTTTTAATTAAAAATTTTAAGAATTGTGAGAATTATTGTTCTTACTTTTAAGAACGTCCTAGTCTAAAACTATTAATCAAGAAGTTTTAAATTAAAAATGCATTCTTTATTAAAGAACTTAAGAATTGCGAGAATGTTTATTCTTATGTTAAAAAGCTCATTTTAAAACTATCATACAAAAAGTTTTGAATTAAGAATGCATTTTTCAATAGAGAACTTCCATTGTTCAAGAATGTTCATTCCTAATTTGTGTATGGACAGTTTTAAAACAAGTATGGCATTCTTTATTTAAAAATGGATTTTCTAGTTTTTAATAATTAAATAAAGAGTGAAAATAATTTTTATGAAACGGCCGGTAATAACTGACTAAAGCTTTTGGTGTTTATTGAGCGCATTTGTGATGTTTTGGTGAGTGTTAAAACCATAGAGAAACAAACACAAAAGTGTGCGATTGCCTATTAGAAATCATTATAGATATTTAAATTGGAATGTACCGCGCTTCGGGCTAGTTTTTCCCGAAAACACTAGAGTCGCCACCCTAATTATGTTCACTTCTAATAGGCAATTGCTCATTATCTTGCATTTGTTTTTCTCTCTGCCAATATGAAAAATTTAACAAACTCAACTTTGGTAGTTAAAGAACTGTTATTTTTTATAATCAAGCTTTTGCAGTGTTACGGACCTATAAAGTAGAAAAGTACGACATGTAGTAGGTCACATGTGAAAAAAGAGAACTTCATTATAAAATCTCTAAGGGATTTTAAGTGTTATCCGTTTCATTTACATTTTTTACCAAATAATTGTATAGTGTATAAATGTAGAAAATTTACCCAAGTTTGTATAACAAATGTAAACCATTTTTTATTTGTTGTTTTATATCTAACGGACTTATATGTAAATTTTTATTTAATAGTATACTATACCCATGGGTATGGAAAATTTACGAAATGCATCACAAATTATTTGCGATCTGTATAAAGTCATATATTACTACTTTAAAAAGGATTGTTAGGATGCTCATTAGTTATTAAGTTTTTACGTAAGTGTATGTAGGTACGTTTATTTTATTGTTAATTTGTTCATAATAATGATACTAGAAACAAAAATGATTTTTATATGAAAACCTGTAACAGTACTAGAACTTTCAACAGTGTGTTTTTTTAAAGGTTTTAGTCTGTATAATAATTTATCTGATGATATTAAAAACTGTGATAACTTACCAATCTTTAAACGTTTATATACACTCTTAGAAAAGACCTGGTATTTGTAACTAACTTAATATCGTTGGGGTAAAACTGTTGCAGAAACTAAAATTTTTTGTTTTTTGTAATCAGTACCTTTATATATGTAACTGCTTGCATCATTACCTGAAAAGATTTAGTTTTGTTGTTGAGTATTATTTACTGCAAAAAGGCGATTAAGTTATTTTAACTGAAACTTTGTGTTGGCTAGAAGTATTGACAACATTATCTCAAAAAAATCATTTCGGCGGTAAAATGTTTTTGTTGGACCAAATATTTAAGTAACATTCTCAACTGACCGAAATTAGTCCGTGGAACTAACGGTTCGGTTTTATAAACTATGCGTCACCTTTCACACAGCTAAGACACCAGCGGTGTGAAACAAAGTGTCAGTTGGGGATGTTGTATCTGTAGGTTAATGCAACTGCAAACTTTGTGCATTTCGCGCGCGATTTGTCCAGCCCGGCGCGTGCTTTACTTTTAACCTGTAAGCAAACGGTGTTGCACGGCGTCCAGACTTCGGTGGTGTTTGTTCTTTTGTATTTGTGTATCAGCTCGTGTATAGTGTATATTTTAGGTAAGAAACTAGATTATTACAATTTGTCATTTGCCCCTGTAAATTTAGTGGCGACATACTTTTTAACTATTCATATATATAAGAATATATTCTTATGTGTTGGTTACTTATAGATATCTCGAACAAATAATATGGATGAGCGGACTGTTGTAGCAGATTTATTAGGAACATGGGGTTAGGTATTATTATTGCACTCTTTTAATTACACTATTGTAGTTTTGGGGCCCGAAAAAAAAAATACATAAATGTGAAAATGCCATTCCGACTGAAAATGGCCTCCTGAATCCAATGGTGCCCACCAAAAGTCTCCATCACGTCGGAATTTCGAGAATTTTTTTGTTTTGTTACAGCTCAAGTCGCATTTTTGATATAGGGCCTATACTAGAGGCACTCACACTCAAAATTTATCGAATGCTTACCCCTGTTATCATGCAAAAATGTTACGTTGTACCTACCTAAGAATCATTGTTAAGTTGTTAAACATCACGGTTTACTGAAGAAGTATAGTCAACTTTTATCTTAATGTACCTATCTGTGTATATTTACCAAAGAATCGTTTTTGTTTTATTGTTAAAATACTTATAAATGTTTTCTTAGAGTAATTATTAATTTTTGTTATAATGTTTAAACCAAAATTTGGTGTTTTCAGTTATATTGTTATTTTTTAATTTATAATAAATATTTACAAAACGAACGGGCATGAATTTTCTTTCTCTACTTTTTATAAAATTTACACAAAAAGTGTTATATTTACTAAGCAGGTATTACTGTGGAATAATACCAATTTGTTGTTGTTGCTACTAACGCAAGCATTTAATATTAAATATAACTTAGTTACAGTACAAAACAAATTTATATTATATCAACTATTAAATTCTTTAAATGTACCTTTTTTCATGTAATTTCAATTAAAAAATAAATTCCTGCATGATACAATGTTTGTTGCGATAAATAGCAAGTGCAGTTGTTACAACTTAGACGCTGCTAAAATGACAGACTAATGTGATTGCATTAAATATCAATTATTTGTATGAAAAAAAAACTTATTTCGATGCACTTAAACTTGTTGGTTGGAGCTACCAATATTGGCTGTTCCGACAACAAACTGTAAAAACAAATTTGTATTGGTTCCCACAACAAAATTTTTTGTTGTGCCTATTTTCACTAATAAAATTGGTTCTGGGAACTAAATTTTCATTGCAAATACCAGGTCTTTTCTAAGAGTGTATACACTATGTTAAAACTAGTTTTTAAGAGTGACTTTTGTTTTGTTTTATAACTTGTGAATGTAAATAGTTATTGCTAAATAAAGTTATTATTATTATTATTATTAAATTAAAGCATAGTTTTAAGCTTAAGTTTTTAAGCATTGATACCAATCTATATATACACCTACAATAAAAAAATAAGAAATACAAAATTTAGGAAGATTAAGTCCAGGATTATGCAGAATTTAATTTAATTTAGTTTATTTTTTAGAAATATGAAAAGGGTTTATGCATGTTAATACAAAATACATAACCGAAAAGATCTTATTATGAACTTGTATAAATTAGATTTTAAAAATGTTCCATTTAAAATTAGGAAATCAAAAGCTTAAAATAAACGTTTTATTTTTAAATTAAGAAGTTAAAATACTTACATAAAAAAAATTTCATTCTTAATTTGAAAATTTAAAAATGTAACATTAAGAACGATTTTTTCTAAATTAAAAATGTAAAATTAAGAACGATTTTTTCTAAATTAAGCAGTACTTATTAAATCTTGAAATATAAGACTGTTTCTTAAATCAAGTAGATCTTTATTCTTAAATTAAAATCTTTAAAGTTAAAAAGTTAAAATTAAGAACCCTTTATTTTCAAATTAAATATTTATTTTCAAAATTTGAGAATGTGTTTATTAAATGAAAAAAAAAAAAAAATTTGAGAATGTGTTTATTAAATGAAAAAAAATCCCCATTCTTAAAATAAACATTTTCATTCTTTAGTTAATAATTATTTAGTTTAAAATTAAGAACGCTATTCTTTAAATTTAAGATTGTGTTCAGTAAATCAAGAACGTATGAAATGTTAAAAGCTAAAAGCTAGCATTTGTAATTCGTCTTTTAAGAATGTTGTGTTAATTTAAATTTTTCATGCTTTACTTCAGAATAAGAAAAACCATTCTTCAATTATTCTCAAAATAAAAATAATTTGTGCTTGGGGCATTTTGAAGAACGACTTGTTTTAATTTAAATGTAATTTTTCTTGTTTTTAAGCACTTATTTTTTGCTTGCAGTAGGTTTATAATATTGTTAATATGCAGTATGCAGTATTTAATTGGGATGTTTAAAAAACAAATCTTAATTACTTTCTTAGGAAGTTCTTAGGTAGGTATAATTTTGTTTTATTGAAATTGCAAAGAAAAAAATTTTGTTTAAATAAATGAGTAATAAGAGCGGATTTGTAGACGAGGCAATAGATGTTAATAATATTACTTTAAATGATAAATAAATTTATTTTTGTATTCCAATTCTTATAATTCTACACAAAAAAGGTTTAAAGTTAAAAAAAGTAAAGAAAACTTAAAATGGTATCAAAAGCTTCTGTGAACAATAAAGTCATAAACATCTTGAAACAATGAGTATACATTTGCTACAATGCATATTGTTGTCAATGTAAGCTATCGTATAAACAAGAACAATATTTTTTTGTTAAACTTTTTATTTTTTTGAATTCATAAGTGTGTTCAGTGAACTATATATTCTACAATTTTGCTAATTGAACGTATTGTTTGTTGCAGGGTTTTGTGCATGTCAGGGTGTGGTTTCCTCAATTTCCTGGCGTTGTTATGCAGTCAGACCAGGAATTGATAATAATGTGTAAGCCGCCTGAGCCGACTATTATCGAAAACAAAGCTGCAGGTTTTGCAGGAAGTTTGTAAGTTCTATGTAGATGTAAAAAAAGACATCCTAATATTTTAATTAGATTATTATTGATCTAATTAAAATATTAGAATGTCCTTTTCTTACTGTCATTACGAAATATGACCATTTTAATATAAATTTTATTGTAAAATTACCTATATTCTATAAGGTTGTAAATAACTCAATAATAACACTTTTGGCCAAAACCCGTGAAATAAATTAATTTAGGAACCCCTTTAGTTTTGAACCCCGTCCTGAATAACATGCTTTGTTGATACCACCCTGGTTAATACATTAAGAAGCTATAGCCTTATAAGACTCAGCGCAAGTCATAGTGTCTACCCCTTAGTTGGTCCAAAAAAATGAACTAACAAAATTAAATATATAGCAAGATCGCTAACCACACAACGAAAGGTGCATTTCATCCTTGGACCAACCATACATGGCTCAGAAATTGCCCAACATATTAAATATGATTATCGATTTATCCAATAGATAAAGTAAGAGAAAATGTATAAAATAAAGTGGGTAAAAGTTAAATAGAAATATGTAGTAAAATAATAGATTGCATTCCAACATAATATAACGTCAAAGTAAAATGCAATAAATAAATAAAATAATGATAGTTAAATACACTGTTCAAAATTTCATGACCATTTTAACACCAAATTAACACCATACGTGGTCTATATCGATACAAACCAAAATGGTGTTAAATAAGGTTCGTTGGTCCGGTGTAAATTCAAATACTAAAATGGTGTTAATTTAACTTTCACACAGTATTAAAATAAATTTTACCTGGTGAAAATTGAACTCCTTTTCAGTGTTAAATATAATGTGCTTGTGGTCAAATTAAATCATACTACACAGAAAAAAGGAAAAAAAAAAGGAAACAGGAAGTTCCTTGACGCATTACTAGTATATTACCAGTGGTATTATTCCAGAAAATGGAACCTTCAACTCGCTAGAGATAATGTTTTTAGTGCATTCCACTAACTTAAAATACTTCAAGTATTGACAGCTGTTTCCACCTATTTAAGGTCTCTTTAGTATCGAACAACTTGTACCAAAGCAAAGGACAACCTGAGTTTATATATTCTTCATGTAAGTCAACAGAGGCGAGATTTAAGAACATCACGTGATCCACACCCCCTTTGCCGCGATCGGTACACATTTTCAACCATAATTCATGTTGTTATATTAACACCACTTGGTGTTGGATTTTGACACCATTTTAAGATTACTTTTTACACCACAGATATTTTAAACAGTGTAATTAAGTTTTTCGATCCACAACTAAGAGCATCCTTTTTTCACAAGGAACAATATAAAATAACAATAAAATGTACCTAGTTAAATATTTAATATTCAACCACTTAATATGATATTTGTGAGCTTAGATTATATTAAGTATACAACACAAACAAACAACATTTTCAGAAAATCTGGATTTATACAAAATCAAGTGGTCGACTATATGAAACTCACTAATCACGACAGCATGCTGCAGCATAATAAACAAAAATTAAGAGTGTGTCAAATTCCTAAGTAACAAACTACACATTTCAAAAAAAAAAACATTTGAAATTTAATCTTATATTTTGTAAAAATAAATTAAGACCTGTTAAAAATGAACTCCCCATATATTGTGCCCATTACCAGGTGTTACAGAATATTCATTTTATCACCGGTTTCAGTTGAGAATAATTTGGACCAAACTTGTTGGGTTAGTTCGTTTCCTGTCGTATAAAATTTAACATAGGTATGTTAAACGGATTTAACCCCACATTTACTACTTCTAATTTATTTATTTATTGTAAGTAATTTTAGTAAACGTTTCACAGCTTGTCAAAGTGGTAGTAGATAAAAATAAAAAATATTTCTTGCTTACTTAACGCTTAAAGTTAAAAAAGTTTTACGATTATCAACTATAATATTTATTTGTCAATTTAAAACATAAACCTCCAAATATAAGCTTTGTCGTGCGCTAGGGCACTTTACAACGTAATAATAAAAGAGGTGGCCAAAAGTCGTTAAAGGTTTAAATTTTATTGAAACTTACTATACTTGGGTTTGTAATGGCGCTAATTCGGATTTTGAGGATGTAGGCATTTTAAAAATAGAAATTCCAAAATGGCCGACTTATTGAAAACAAACTTGAAATCGTTTGTAAATTTTAATTTTAAGGGTTTTGAGTTATCTTATTATGAAATTAGTTAAATTCATAAATTCAAAATGGTATCAAAATTGGCCAATTAATAAAAACGTTACTGTATTCAAATTAAAATTTAAAGTGTTTCGACATCTCCTTCTTCAAAATTGACAAAATAATGTATACAATATTTTGTCATACATACATACATTGATACAACTATATAATTATTAGATACGTTTTAAATATTTGATCGGATGGTTTTTCGGGCTCCTGATTGCAAAATGTAAATAATAATTCATGAATTCCTATCAGATCTAAAACTGCTGACTGGTAAACTTTAAACTAAGATTAAAAACATTGCATGTAAGTATTTTTGAGGTGGATGGATGGATCGTGCATTTTCAAAAGAAGTAACAATCCTAGATCACTACTGTTGGTATTTTAATAATTTTTATTAACATTAATTTCTTTAATAGAATAATTTATTTTTATAACAAGGCCATGCAACAACTTGTTATAAAATAAAAAATAATGTATATAAAAAGTACACCTTGTATACATTTTTATGATTCTAAATTAACTAGTCGCAGATGCATCCTGACTCTAGTCGCGACAATGCAGCAAGTAGCTGCAACGCAGGCGAGCTTGAATTAAATATGATAATACCATAATAATATAATTGTGAGGAAGATTGAAAAAAAATGGAGATGTTGTTGATGGATTTTGAAACTGCGTAAATCAACTGTGCAGTTTTTATCGGTCAACTCTGAGGTTAAAAAATTTTGAGGATGTCTTTTCTTAATACCCTCGACCAGAGCCGGATTATCATATAGGCTAAGTAGGCTTTAGCTAGGAGCCCAAGGCTTGCTAAGCTAAGTCAAATACCTACGTGAACAAAATAATTGGATTTTTATAATTTAATTTTTAAATTCAACGGCATTTACAGGAAAATACAGTGCCGGATTTTCTTTCTACCTTGATGTGAATTCTAAATTAGACGAAAGAAAAATTCCTAACATTAATTTTTTTCTTTTCTCTAACTTTTACAACAAAGTAACAACTTCTAACTGTTTTACAACAAGGTAGGAAAAAGCCAAAGATAATACCCCCATTATTATTATATATTATTATCTTTGCTAAATTTCGTAAACGATTTTCGGAACCATTTTCATTAACACATAAAAAAGGCAAATCTTATTAATTTTGCAGTTTTAGGACTTTTTCACATGAAGACTAAAAACGTTAATTTTTTTTGTTTACTTGGTCATCTCTTATTCTTCTGCGTCTCTCACGTTCTGCTTGTGAAATGAAATATTATAAATTGGTTACATATAAGGGACACGACAATGACGAGTACGGTAATGATGATTTTAAGATTATTAAGAGTATTTTACAATGTTTATTCGAAAATGTAATGGAATTTTCAAGGTAACATTTGCTTTTTGTTAATGCAAGACTCCTTTGTATTAATGTAAACATTTTGTATGTCCATAAACTTTGAAATAATACTTACCTACCCCGAAAATGACGGACTTAGATGTAACAAGCCGTTTTCGTTTTCAATCGGCGCATGTCACAACTTTATGTTTTGACATATGCTGGTAGACGTTAGACATATCAGACGTTCGAAAACCGGCATTTTCCGAATCCGAATCGCGATTTTAAATATGAAATTAGACACATTTTAAGTAGGCAGGGCAATGACGCTCATGGGTGTGAGCAAAGTTTAAACGGCATTAAAAGAAAAGTTAACATTTTAAAAGGCAATTTCTTGCTTGCATTGTATTATTTTTTATTTTCTCCGTCTGTGTTAGGCGGGATATTGCAAGATTTAATTTGTAAAAAAATGTAAGAAAATAATATGTTGTTGTTCTTCGAATGTGAACAAGGCACGGTAATGATGTTTGCGACACAAAATTTAAAATATATTGTTATACGCTTAAAAAAACAATATTTTTAATCTAAAATTATTAATACAAATTGAATTAATGTTATTTAGTCCACACGGAGCACGAGTTTCTGGCGTAGTCGAAGAAACTCCTGGACGCCTGGAGTACGAAGTGGCCTTGTACAAGGAAGCACCAGCCAACCGGATCTCAAACTCCTCCACCAGCAGCGAGCTACCTGTAGATCAGGCAGTTCCCATCGGTACCAAGCTTCAGCTTCGGGCGAAAATCAGCCCGGAATCCGCTTGGAAATACGTCAAACTAATGGAAGTTACCGTCAGTCCCGATCCTGATGATCCTCACATGCCAGGAAGTGTTGCATTGGTTAAAGACGGGTAAGAAAATGAAAATATTACAATACGTTCAGTCAAAAAAGTAACTGGAATTTATTAATAAAACACAAGTTATTTAATAATAAATTAATAAAATGACTTTATTGCCTTCAAAAAATATCCCATATGGGATTGTAAGGAAAACACATAATATGTTTTTTAGGGTGGTCCTTACCTTCACTATTTTTAAATTTTAATGCTTCCAGGGGATTATTTTTTTTCGAAATAGGAAAAAAAATTATATTTTAACATGGGGTTTTCGGCATTAAATAATCAATTTTTTATTCCGGCTAAAGTGACACCTCATAATAGTGGCTTGGAACTTTTACAGATTTTTAGCTATTATAATTTTAGGTAGATGAAAAATGTGATTTTATTTTTTTACAAACTTTGTTCAAAAACTAATGGTAAATTATGAATATTTTTATAACGACCAAAGAAGCTGTTAAAATAATTGGGCAAATTTCAACATTGTTAATTGTTTCGGCCTTTACTTGATGAACTCCATATTAACTATGTGGATAGAAAAATAACTGGTAAAGTTTCACGAAATTTCGCGAAACTTTACAACAAAGTTGTTTTTATATCCACATAATTATCATATTATACCTCAGAATTTTTACAGATTTAAAGCTATTATAATTTTAGAGTCAGGTGGATAAAAAACTTGATATTAATTTTTTCATAATTTGTTCAAAAAATTTAAAACTTAGTATTTTATAACCTTTTGTTATAATCTATTTTCTAAAAAAAAAATAGCTATATAATTCGAATAATAAGTAATTAATTTTTTTTGGATATAACGCCTTTTAGAGAATATTAATAGTATTGTGTATACTATCACTGATTTAAATAATTTGTCAGATTTTAATTCCCTTTTAATAATGTCTACCTTTAAAGGATTTTAAATAAAAAATTAAAATTACAAATTCTCGTTTTTTTTACGAAGTAAAATTTCTTTTCGGATGCGCAACCTTTTTTCTAAACCTAAAAATAAGCGAGATACCCATGGGTATGCATGCATGCTTTGCCCCCAAAAAATCCAATTTAATAATAATAATAATAATAATAATAATAATAATAATAATAATAATAATGGAATACTGTATTGCAGAGTGCATCTTATTAATAAATAATCTTTTATAAGACTTTTTTATTATTTTAAATTTTTCTTTAATATACTGTGCGACAAAACCGGGGGTCAAATTAATAACCAAACATTTGACACCTAATATCGTTAATATAGGCCAAAAGAAATCAATTCTTAAAAGGTTTAGCTAACTCATCTCAATTAGGCTATGCTAAGCCTACTTGAAAATAAGATTCCCAAAAAACTGAATTAAGTGTACACTGTAGAGGATGCTCAGAAATTAAAAAAACTCGGAAATGCTTTAAGAAGTACCCTGCATTTTACGTAAAAAATATATAAAAAAATTATTGTACAGGGTGCTTAGAAATTAAGAATACATAAAAATACTTCAAGAGAAAAGACCCTTTACTTATTATTTTATAGAAAATCAATCACAATTTAAATTTATATACGAAATAAAACATTTAATTTTATTTAATTAGTTTGGTTTAAAATTAAATGTTAAAATAAAAAAATGTATTTAGTCTTTAATTTAAATTGCCATCAATTCAAATTTTCTTATACAATTTTTCTTGATGCATGTACGGTAAACAAGGGTGGCTTTGCACCCCGCGGGTGACTTTATCCCTTTTATGAAACATCTTTTAGCGCTCGATAACATTTATAATTTGTTGGTCTAAACCTGTCAATTGAGCGATTCTATTGAGTTTATATAACAGGAAAATCAGTGTTTTAAGAAAATAAATGGGATTTATTACACTTTAATAGTATATTATGTATCAAGTTTGATAAACCCCATTTTATACACGAATTTAATTTAGGCATGAGCAAGCTTGCGAGCGAGTGCTTAAATTAATGAGTGTATAGAAAAGTTTATAAACGAGGTGCATATTATACTTTTTCTACGAGAAATACTTATTATTATTTTAAAATGATTTATATCGAAAATTTGTATATAGCGCCATCTAGTAAAAAAAATGTTTTATGAGCACTTTGCAGTGGAGTCCGTGCAGTGAATTTAAGTTAGTTTACTGCCGGCGAAATTAAAAGGTCAGTACAATGTTCATATAAACTTTTCAAATATTGGCGTTGAGAAACTATTTATTACTTTTGTATTTTTGTATGGAGATAATAAAATAATTTTCACATTTAGTAATATTTTACAAAAAAGGCACTTTATTTCAACGATTGTATGATATTTACCAACTGTCAACTAACTTAAAACTAACTTCAGCCCGTGACTAAAAACCTTTTGCTAACTTCAGTCCGTGACTAAAGCGCCATAAAGCCATAACTTGTCAATGTGTATTTAAAAGGTCACTTAGTGTCATGGAAACATGTACGATAAAGGGCGTTTTAAAGGTGGGAGTAGAAAAAATTTCATATTGGTAATTCAAAGTTTTGTTATGAGAATTTATTTTTTTAAATAATAAGAAGTCTATGTAAAATCCATTGTTTTGCAAAATGCCTATGCTATGCTAGCAAAACCTCCTTAGGGGATTGATTTCTTTAAACTTATGTTACACGGTTCACCGAACACCGTTTTTAACGAAAAAAATAGAACAACTTTGAAACATTTTTAAAAAAAAATACTTACTAAGTATTCAAAAAAAAGTAAAATGAAAATCTTCCATGTAGATCTTGGGAAATAGCGATCAATTCTTCGTAATTTATGTGTAGTATCGTATATTGATAATATTTTAACTGTCTCAAAGTTAATATTTTTAGAATATTTTTAATTTGAAAGACTCATACGATAGTAGGAAACTCAAACTTTATTCTTCTGAATGCATTATTCAAAATTATAAACGTAAAAATTAATAAATTTTAACAAAAATGTAAAAAACAACAAAATAAATTCAAGCCTATAGATGTTGACTATTGTATGCACAAAGACATCGAAGCAAGTTCATATTATATATTTCTATTATAATAAGCTTTGCTTTGTTTGGATGTTTTCTACCTACTGATTTATAATTCCTATTTTAGACAATAAATATATACCCGTATTTGAGGAGTTCAATCAAGTAGTTTCTGGCTGCTTTGGCCAAAACATACATAAAAGAATTTAAACTACAATCATCAAAAGCTGGAATTACATGTACACCAAAGATCTATGCTCTCATTTATCATGTTCCTCTATTGAGGAAAATTTATTGAAGAAACGCAAAGAGCCTTGGTTTCTTCCAAAAATTTTAATTTATCCAGAAATAACTATAATATGAACTTGCTTCGATGTCTTTGTGCATACAATAGTCAACATCTGTAGGCTTAGATTTATATTGTTGTTTTTTACATTTTTGTTAAAGTTTATTAATTTTTACGTTTATAATTTTGAATAATGCATTCAGAAGAATAAAGTTTGAGTTTCCTACTATCGTATGAGTTTTTCAAATTATTAAAAATATTCTACAAATATTGACTTTGACAGTTAAAATATTATCAATATGCGATACTACACATAAATTACGAAGAATTGATCGCTATTTCCCAAGATCTACATGGAATATTTTCATTTTACTTTTTTTTGGATACTTGGTAAGTATTTTTTTTTAATGTTTCAAAGTTCTATTTTTTTTCGTTAAAAATGGTGTTCGGTGAACCGTGGTTACCCGGTACCGTTACCGATATATTAGGTGTCAAATTTTTGGTTATAATTTTACTGTTACACAGTATGTATTATTATTATTAATGATTTATGCATATTTAGACGTGGGTCGTAATTGAAATAAAAATCACTTACTACTTTTACTTACTGTTTATACAAACTTTTATTTAACTACCTATAGCATTTGTCATAAAATAAATATTAGGTAAACTTTTACATTACAATGCATATTTTTCACGGTCCATTGGCTGAGGCATAGGGGCATTTCGTTTTCCGAGCCTGGGTGCAAACGGCGGTGATCGTTCATTCATTCTTTTTTCGAACAGGTCTTCCTGAAGCCACTCGTCATTTTCCTCTCCGGAGTCGCGACCCAATCTTGGTTGATAATTAACGGTATGCCTTTTCGCTGGATTAAGTACCACAATTGCATAGGGGGATTCTTGAATAGCATCCAAAATCGAATTTATTTCGTCGGTTTCCAAATATTTATAGTAACTCTCGTTGGGATTTCTCTTTCTTCTGCCCATTCGGGGACCAAACCATAGCGGAGCTTTTTCGTCGTACTTGCGCTTATCGATGGCAGAATCGAAGTGTGGAGCACAAAAAACGGATTCCAAATAAATGAAAGTAGCGATGATTACTGCACAGTTTAAAAGTGTGAATCGAGTCATGTTGGACACTGGTCACTGGATCCGATCAAACGGGGTTTTATAGGTGTCCAGAAACGCGTCAACATCAGCAGGAGTCTTTCGAAAACAACCCCTGCAGGTTTGCAAATCCTTAAAACTAATTTGCAGACGATCTCTGACATTTTAACGGAAAACATATTATTCTTATTTGACTTCGTGTTTTAAGGTAAAAAAAACATTTATTTCAATTGTAGATATATATATATATAATATAATTGAAATAAATGTATATATATTTATATATGTATATATACAGGGTGAGCCAATGAAAAGTGTCCGCCCCGGTCTTCTCGGGTCTTATGTAAAAAAATAAAAAACGTTTGCACACGTGGATTTTGGGGAAACAATTTATTTTTATATTTTCAACCCCTCAACTTTTATCCCTAAGCGTGGGTGATAGTTACCCCCAAAACTTTTAAAGGAAAGAGGGTTCGAGTGATGCCTCATTTTAAAGTTATTTTTGCCTTGATTATTACCTTCAAGTTTGAAGTCGTTGATATGACAGCTTGTCAAAATCTTGGAAAGTGTGTCGGTTTTTAGTCAATATTTAATTAATCACAACTTTAAACTTGGTGGATATAATGAGAGTGAAGCACCAAACATTTGGTTATAGGTTATGTGCATAAATTTATTTTACAGTGACCTGTAATTATAGGTTTCTACACTGATTTCGTGTATTTTTAATTTATTTTTATCATTACCTTTTGAACTGCAAACAAATATGAAGTTTTTCTATATAAGCTTCCAAGTGTTATAATATGACATTAAACGCTTAAACAATATTACCACTTAATACAAAACGTAAACGACAAAAGTAAACGACACGGCCATTTCAAGCGCTCGAAACGCACGAATTCCAAAAGTGTTTGTATAAAAAAAATTATAGAATATTAATTATATAATATTTTGGCATCAAAATTGTCAAAAATATTCTTCTTTTATTGGGTTATACATTAAATAAAAAATCGCTAGAAATATTTTATAAAAGTAGAGATAATTTTAATGATTGAAAGGTGTGGACGGAACAAAAAAAAGTTTGATCTTGTCCCGTCCACACCTGTCAAATATTGAAATTATCTTTACTTTTATAAAATATTTCTTGCGATTTTTTTATTTAATGTATAGTAGGGTGATTCAAAAAAAGCCTTTTTTTAAAAATGAACCCGCACTGGCCTAAATTATAAAGATTACATTAAAACTAAAATATTGATACCAAAAAATCCAAATTCGATGAATATTTAGAGGTCGCTCAAATCGATTTTCGTATTTTTGCACATTCGAGCCGCGAAATTATTACTACGCAAAATAGTAAATAACTCCGTTAGTTTTTAATACCCTCTGAGACAGTGTATTGAACTTTACGAAAAAAAAATTTTTTCATGAAAAAAAAAATTATTTGTTAATAAAAACGTATCATCTTATAAAATAAGCAACAATTGGAATCGCACTATGATGGTACCGTAAAAAAACTAAGAAAATAACACTTAAATTATTTAGTATACAGAAAAACTGCCGAAAGAAATATTTTATTTGATTTATATAAAATATAACCTAAAAATAATTAAGTAATTTAGATTTTTCCCATTTTCAAACGATTTTATAAATAATTTATATCCGTTTTATTAATTATAGCGTATTTTTATAATATTTCTTAATTTTTGATACCATATTTAATTAATTAAACTAGGTAGTTATTAAATTAGGTCCTTTTTACAACTAAAATAAAATAACTACAAAATTATTCACTGCATTGATATGGCTTAAGCAGAAATTTAAATTTTATTAAAATTATTGACATACAACAATTCACAAATTTTAATACCAAAATTATTTGATTCTGTCTAGATGTTGCTAAATTGGCATACCACAATAATAATTATTATTTTTAAATTTTGTCAGTAGGAGCTACTACCAGGTAGTTGATAAATTATATAAATATATATATATATATATATATATATATTATTTACTTAATTCAAAAGCGTCTAAGTACCAAAACTAATTTGTTGAGAAATTAAAGAAAAACATCTTATACCTTGGTGGAGATAGATAGAATGCCCGATGGATGAACAAAGCTATATACCTACTCTCTAAAGATTTTCTTATTTCGGGATCAATTTAAACTCACAATGAAAATAAGTCATTGCGTAGAATTTGTATTTTTATTATTTCGGTTTACATATTTGCCTGGTTTCAAGATCCAAATGCAACTTGCGCGCCCAAAAATGATTTGAAAACACTTCATGAACTTCATGTTTACGAAAATATAGATTTGCAAATAGAAAAGCTAATTTGTTTGGCATTTTTTGATAAAAGAGTACCTACTGAAACAAAAGAAAAAATGGTTAAAAAAATTAACATTAGAAACAATCATTGCAAAGAAAAAGATGTAGAGCAGTGGATTTTTTTTATTTTAATTATAAAAAGGACAAAAATTAATAACAACTTAGTGAAATTAATTAAATATGGTATCAAAAATAAAGAAATTTTATAAAAATACGTCATAATTAATAAAACGGATATAAATTATTTATAAAATCGTATGAAAATGGGAAAAATTTTAATAACTTAATTATTTTTAGGTTATGTTTTATATAAATTAAATAAAATATTTCTTTCGGCAGGTTTTATGTATGCTAAATAATTTAAGTGTTATTTTCTTAGTTTTTTTACGGTACCATCATAGTGCGATTCCAATTGTTGCTTATTTTATAAGATGATACGTTTTTATTAACAAATTTTTTTTTTTTTCATGAAAAAAAATTTTTTTTTGTAAAGTTCAATTCACTGTCTCAGAGGGTAATAAAAAACTAGGTAACCCTTAAATTTTTAATAATATCGATTAAAAACTAACAGAGTTATTTACTATTTTGCGCAGTAATAATTTCGCGGCTCGAATGTGCAAAAATACGAAAATCGATTTGAGCGACCTCTAAATATTCATCGAATTTGGATTTTTTGGTATCAATCTTTTAGTTTTAATGTAATCTTTATAATTTAGGCCAGTGCGGGTTCATTTTTAAAAAAAAGCTTTTTTTGAATCACCCTAATGTATAGCCTAATAAAAGAAGAATATATTTTACACTTTTAATGCAAAAATAATATATAATAAATTTCCTACAATTTTTCTTTTATAAAAACAAGGCTTGTGATTTGTCCCTTCCGTCCGTTTGAAATGGCCAGACAGTCACGTTTGCATAAAATACAAAAATCGTAGTTTTTAAACAGACTGCTTATTTAAGTATATTAACTACTTTTTTATAATAAAGATGTGTCAATTCAAATTTAATTAACATTAAATATTTGCTGTTGCTCTCGTTCCTAGGTGGGACTTCAGTCCCGAGTGACCTCATAATTTTAAGATTCGTTATATTACGATAAAACTAAAACAAACTAATCAAAATAACCAACCCAAACCATCCACAACACTTTTTAACAAAGGAACAACAAATTTATAAAACAAAAAAAGTTCGACAACTTCTAGTAGTATCGAACTCGATACCTCTAGCATGCCAAGCGACCGCCCTACCATCTGAGCCATCAAGCTTAACATTAATTTTATAACGCTCGGGGAATAACAACGGATTTACAGTGTGTGACGTCAGTCGGGATCGAACTAAAGTCCCGCCTCGGTACGGGAGCCAATTCGTTAAATATTTGGAAACGAAATGAAAATAATAACCTAAGAAATTTTTTAAATTTAGCTCAGGAGAGAACCTATAGGTTAGCTAGCTAAAGTTTCTTGTTTTTTTTATGTGTATTTAATTGCGTTCATAAAGGAAATCTGATCTGATCTGTGCAACAATTTAAGGTTCTTCAAAAACTACACCAGTCGGTTTTGTTGACGTATTACACAAAAGATCCTTCTGGAAAACTTATTTTGCGTTTTTGAATAATAATTTGCACATAATCTCGTGAAGTCTATTTTAAAGTTTTAAATAACTACAAGAAGTACTTCTTGTTACGTAATACGTAAGTGCCTTATCTAACATTTAGGCCCCGCAAAACCTAGGAACAAGTCTGATTAAAATACTTCACTATTTGTTAAGTTATATTTGTATTTAAATACAATTTTTTCTTCTTTTTTAATGAACAATTAGGTATAATTTATTTATGTTTAATTGTTAAATCCATTACAGCAGTAGTAGGTAAAATAAGAGGCACTTCTCTGCTGGTTTGATTTATTTTAAAAACCTACTAGTTTTGCCTTTGAGGCATCATCAGAGTTTACGTCAATGTTAAAAATCCCAATATATACAAATTAAAATTATTCGATTTGGTTATTTATAAAGTTAAAGTGCTCTTTTAGTTCCACCCTTACATCCAAACTAAACACTTATTAAAATTTGGAAATTAAAATTACACGTTATTGTTATATTAAAATATTAAAACAGTTGTTTTAATATTTTAATATAATTAATAACGTGTTTTAATATACTATCGCTAACAAAAAAAACTCATACAGCTTAAAAATCTAGTGTTCCTGATTTTTTATCATTTCGTTGGAGTAATTATGGCTTTTAACATGATACGTCACATTTGAAAGGTCTAAAATTAAATACAAAGTTAGGTTGAAGTTTGAAAAAAAAATTAATATTTCGTCAACCCTCTGTTTTTGTCAATTACTGCCCGCAAACGGCAAAGCATGGAAGTAGCCGTCTTGCTTTATCTCGTTCCAAATGGCTTCAATGGCTTGCCAGAGTTTGTCTGCATTGTTTGGTTGAAAATGTTGTTAAAAACGTCATAATGGATGTGACAAAGCTCGATGTCAGCTTGACATTGACGGAAAAGTTTTATTCACACAGCCACAATATAGCTGTATGAGTTTTTTTTGTTAGAGATAGTAACAATAACGTGTAATTTTAATTTTAAAAATTTAATAAGTGTTTATTTATATAAAACCAAATCGAATAATTTCTCCATACACTCGAAGCTGGCGACTCTGAAAGAAGAATGGAATTCTGTTTATGGTTTCAAGGTATGTAT